CACTGGGGTACAGTCCCACACACACTGACTCTCACTGGGGTACAGTCCCACACACACTGACTCTCACTTGGGTCCAGACCCACACACACTGACTCTCACTTGAGAACATCTCCCACACACACTGACTCTCACTGGTGTGCAGACTCACACACACACTGACTCTCACTGGAGTACAGTCCCACACACACTGACTCTCACTGGGGTACAGTCCCACACACCGACTCTCACTGGGGTGCAGACTCACACACACAGATGCTCACTGGAGCACAGTCCCACACACACTGACTCTCACTTGGGTCCAGACCCACACACACTGACTCTCACTCGAGAACATCTCCCACACACACTGACACTCCCTGGGGTAGAGTCCCACACACACTGACACTCCCTGGAATACAGTCGCACAAACACTGACTCTCACTGGGGTTCATCTGCCACACACACACTGACTCTCAATGGGGTATAATCCCACACACACTGACTCTCACTGGGGTAGTGTCCCACACACACTGACTCTCACTGGGGTACAGACACACACACACTGACTCTCACTGGGGTACAGTCCCACACACACTGACTCTCATTGGGGTAGTGTCCCACACACACTGACTCTCACTGGGGTACAGACACACACACACTGACTCTCCTTGGGATACAGTCCCACACACAGTGACTCTTACTGGGGTATATCTCCCACACACACTGACTCTCACTGGGGTACAGCTCCCACACAAACTGACTCTCACTGGGGTGCAGTCCCACACACACTGACTCTCACTGGGGTACAGAAGCACACAGACTGACTCTCACTGGGGTACAGTCCCATGCATACAGTGAATCTCACTGGGGTACAGTCTCACACACACTGACTTTCACTGGGATGCAGCTCCCACACACACTGACTCTCACTGGGATGCAGCTCCCACACACACTGACTCTCACTGGGGTACAGTCCCTCACACACTGACTCTCACTGGCGTTCAGACCCACACCCACTGACTGTCACTGGGGTACAGCTCCAACACGCACTGACTCTCACTGGGTTACAGTCCCACACACACTGACTCTCACTGGAGCACAGTCCCACACACACTGACTCTGAACGGGGTACAGTCCCACACACACTGACTCTCACTGGGGTACAGCTCCCACACACACTGACTCTCACAGGAGCACAGTCCCACACACACTGACTCTGAACGGGGTACAGTCCCACGCACACTGACTCTCACTGGGGTACAGTCACACTCTCACTGGGGTACAGACCCACACACACTGACTCTCACTGGGGTACAGACCCACACACACTGACTCTCACTGGGATACAGTCCCACCCACACTGACTCTCACTGGGGTACAGTCCCACACACACACTGTCTCTCACTGGGGTACAGTCCCACACACACTGACTCTCACTGGGGTACAGTCCCACAAACACTGACTCTCACTGGGGTACAGACCCACACACACTGACTCTCACTGGGGTACAGTCCCTCACACACTGACTCTCACTGGGGTACAGTCCCACAGACACTGACTCTCACTGGGGTACAGACACACACACACTGACTCTCACTGGGGTACAGTCCCACACACACTGACTCTCACTGGGGTACAGACACACACACTGACTCTCACTGGGGTACAGACACACAGACACTGACTCTCACTGGGGTACAGTCGCGCACACACTGACTCTCACTGGGGTACAGTCCCACAGTCACTGACTCTCATTGGGGTACAGTCCCACAGACACTGCCTTTCAACATTCTGGAGGAAGAGTGATCAATCCGAAGCATATTTGATGAATGTTCTGCAGACATTTTTGAATAAACTGAAATACTGACGACAAATCAAAAGCTGTTGGTGTGTTTTGTGCAGGACACCATTGAAGCAAAATTAAAAGGGAAATTATAATCCTTCCTCCTGAGTATGAAGAGAGTGCGTGTGGGAATAAAATGTCATCACTTCTTACCCAGGGTGTTAAGATGTCCTTCGATCAGTGACACTGATAAGCGGACTTGTTGGATACCGTTTCCAATGTTCCTCCTCTGATTGGAAGCAGAGGCTCTCTCTCACTCTGTTTTTCTGTTCACTCTCTGTCTCCTTCTCTCTCTTTTTCTCAACTTGTGTTTCCGTCTCTTGTCTAGTCCCTTTACCTGTTTTTTCTCTTTTGTTCTCTCTGTATGTTTCTCTTGGTCTTATCTCATTATCTCTTCCTCTCCCTGTCACCGTCTCTTTCTCTATCTTTATATTAAGCCCGTTTGTTATCGTTCTGTCCCTCTGTCCACCGCACTGTTCCACACTCACTCCCTCTATTCCTTACCCTGTTCTCTCTCCTTATCTCTCTCTTCTTCCCTGGGTACTTCTCCCTTTGTTTTGCTGTCTCAGTGTCTCTCTATCTCTCTCTGACTCTTGCCCTCTCTCTGGGCTGTCTCTGTGATCTCATGCAGCCCAAGTGAGCCACTCTCTGACTGTCTGACCATTTCCTTTCAGTACATGTCCTGTGGTTATCTGAGCTGTACATTATAACAGCTCCTTGGCCAGCTCAACGAGTCAAGCAAGGTGTCTGTGGGCTTTTGTGAACAATGCAGTTTGTTAGTTGCGTGGTGTGAAATGCTGGCTCATATTCAAAATCTCTCGGGAGGACACAGTTTAGCCCTGGTTTTTCACCTTGTCTCTGATCGGTCAGGATCCTCCATGGCCAGAGACTGGCGGAACAGAGTGTTGGTATGGTCACACCATGGAAGCAACAACAGCTTGCAGCAAGGAGATGAGGACAATGGCAAAGTGTTGGATAGGAAAGTGGGCACTCCAAAAAATCTGCCCCATCTGACTCCACCACCCAAAAGGCTGCCATGGTTTCCTTGTCAAATTTGCGCTTATTAATTCCTGGGATGCGGGCGTCTCTGGCTAAGCCAGCATTTATTGCCCGTCCCTAGTTGTCCTTGAGAAGGTGATGGTGAGCTCCCTTCTTGAACGGCTGTAATCCTTGTTCTATGGGCTGACCCACAGTGCCATTAGGGAGGGAATTCCAGGATATTGACTGAGTGACAGGGAAGGAATGGTGATATATTTCCAAGTCAGGATGGTGAGTGAACTTGGAGGGGAACTTGCGGTGTTGGCGTTCCATGTTCTGCTGCCCTTGTCCTTCTAGATGGACGTGGTCGTGGGTTTGGAAGGTGCTGCCTGAGGATCTTTGGTGAATTTCTGCAGTGTATCTTGTAGATAGTACACACTGCTGCTACTGAGAGTCGGTGGTGGAGGGAGTGGGTGCTTGTCGATGTAGTGCCAATCAAGTTGGTTGCTTTGTCCTCTGTCAAGCTTTTTGTGTGTTGTTGGAGCTACGCACATGATGAGTATTCCATCACACTGCTCACTTGTGCCTTGTGGAATGCAGCTCGGCTCTGGGGAGTCAGGAGGTGAGTTACTTGCTGCAGTATTCCTAGCCTCTGACCTGCTCTTGTAGCCACTGTGTTTATGTGGTGAGTCCAGTTCAGTTTCTGGTCAATGATAACCTGCAGGATGTTGATAGTGGAGGATCGAGTGACAATAACACCTTTAAAAAGAAGGGGCAATGATTAGATTGTCTCTTATTGGAGATAGTAATGGCTTAGCATTTGTGTGGCAGAAATGTTACTTGCCACTTGTCAGCGATATTGTCCAGATCTTGTTGCATGTGAACATGGACTGCTTCAGTATCTGAGGAGATGCAAATGTTCACATTGTGTAATTATTGGCGAACATCCCCATTTCTGACCTTATGATGGAGGGAAGTCATTGATGAAGCAGCTGAAGATGTTTGGGCCTAGGACACTATCCTGAGGAACTCCTGCAGGGATGTCCTGGAGCTGAGATGAGCGACCTCCAACAACCACGACCATCTTCCTATGTGTCGGGTATGACTCCAACCAGCAGAGAGTTTTCCCCCTTATTCCTTTTGATTCCAGCTTTGCCAGGGCTCCTTGATGCCACACTTCGTCGAATGCAGCCTCGACATCAAATACAGTCACTCTCACCTCCCTCTGGAATTCAGCTCTTTTGTCCATGTTTGAACCAAGGCTGTAATGAGGTCAGGAGCTGAGTGGCCCTGGCGGAACCCAAACTGGGCGTCACTGAGCAGGTTATTGCTGAGCAGGTACTGCTTGATAGCACTGTTACTGACACCTTCCATCACTTTACTGATGATCGAGAGGAGACTGATGGGGCGGTAATTGGCCGGGTTGCATTTGTCCCGCTTTTTAGGTACAGGACATACCTGGGCAGTGTTTCACATTGTCGGGTAGATACCAGTGTTGTAACTGTACTGGAACAGCTTGGCTTAGGGAGTGGCTAGTTCTGGAGCACAAGTCTTTAGCACTGTTCCCAGAATATTGTCAGGGCTCATAGCGGTGGCTCAGTGGTTAGCATTGCTGCCTCACAGCACCAGGGACCCAGGTTCAATTCCACCCTCAGGTGACTGTCTGTGTGGAAATTGCATATTCTTCCCATGTCTGCGTGGGTTTCCACCCACAGTCCAAAGATGTGCAGATTAGACAGATTGGCCATGCTAAATTACATATAGTGTCCAGGGATGCATGGGCTAGGTGGATTAGCCATAGGAAAATGCAGCATTACAGGGATAGGGTAGGGGTCTGAGTGGGATGCTCTTCAGAGGGGCAGTGTGGACTCAATGGGCTGAATGGCCTTCTTCCACATTGTAGGGATTCCAGTCTCTTCAACCTTTTCTTTATATCACACAGATTGAATCAAATTGGCTCAATTCTAGTATCTGTGATACAGTCTTATTTTCAGTGGCTCAGTGGTTAGCACTGCTGCCTCACAGCACCAGGGACCCAGGATGGATGCCAGCCTTGGGTGACTGTCTGTGTGGAGTTTGCATGTTCTCCCCGTATCCATGTGAGCTTCCTCCTTAAAGATGTGGAAGTTAGAATGGATTGGCCATGGTAAATGCTGGGTTACGGGGATAGGGTGGAATGCTCTTTGGAAAGTCGGTGCAGACTCGATGGGCTGAATGGCCTCTTTCTGAACTGCAGAGATCCTACAGTCTTTTGCACTGATGTGCTGGGCTCTTCCATCATTGAGGATGGGGATATTTGTGGACCCTCCTCCTCCAGTGAGTTTTTCAATTGTCCACCCCAATTCATGACTGGATGTGACAAAACTGCAGAGTGGGTTGTGTGATCTCTGTCTATCACTTGCTGCTTAAGTTGTTTGGCAATCAGGTAGTCCTGTTTGGTGACTTCAACACGTTGACACCTCATCTTCAGGTATGCCTGGTGCTGCTCCTGGCATACACTCCTGCACTCTCCATTGAACCAGGGCTGATCAACTGGCTTGATGGTAATGGTTGAGTGGGGGATATGCTGGGCTACAAGGTTGCAGATTGTGCTGAAGTACAATTCTGCTGTTGTTGATGGCCCACAGAGCCTCATGGATGCCCAGTCTTGAGTTGCTAGATCTGTGCAAAGCCTGTCCCATTTAGTACAGTGATAGTGCCACACAACACGATGGAGGTTATTCTCAATGTGAAGGTAGGACTTCGCCTCCACAAGGTCTGTGCGGTGGTCACTCTCACTAAAACTGTCATAGACCAGATGCTTCTGCAGCCGGCAGATTGGTAAGGATCAGGGAAAGTATATTTTTGCATCTTGTTGGTTCCCTCACCAACGGCCATGCACCCACTCTAGCAGCTATGTCCTTCAGGACCTGACCAGCTCAATCAGAAATATTGCTGCCGAGCCACTCTTGATGGTGGACATTGACATCTCCTACCCAAAACATATTCTGCACCCTAACACCGCTCAGTCAATACCATGTTAGGTCTCTCCTGCTGGTCTGAACTAAATCCATGTCTCTGAAACATTACCTGGTAATGTTAACTCACAACGAACCCATCTTCAACCCGCAATTAGCTTCAGAATATTCACATCATATTGTTGTATCAGAGTGGTACATTGTCTCAGTTCAGACCTTAGGCAACAACTTTGGAACTGTATCCTGAAACTGTATCCCAGTGAGAGTCAGCCCCTTCAGGAACCATATTCCAGTGAGGATCAGCCCCTTCAGGGACTGTAACCCAGTGAGAGTCAGCACCTTCAGGAACTGTATCCCAGTGAGAGTCAGCACCTTCAGGAACCATATCCCAGTGAGAGTCAGCCCCTTCAGGAACTGTATCCCAGTGAGAGTCAGCACCTTCAGGAACTGTATCCGAGTGAGAGTCAGCCCCTTCAGGAACTGCATCCCAGTGAGAGTCAGCACCTTCAGGAACTGTATCCGAGTGAGAGTCAGCCCCTTCAGGAACTGTATCCCAGTGAGGGTCAGCCCCTTCAGGAGCTTGTAAAGTGGGAAAACAATTCCATGTTGAAAGTGAAAAAGTTATTTCCTAAAAGGGTGTAAATCTTTTCTGAACACTTTCAAGTTTCACAACATCCTTCCGATTGCAGGGACACCAAAATTCCAAGTTTTATTCCAAAAGTGGCCTAACCACTGTCCTGTGCAACCGCAACATGATGTCCCAACTCCTATACTCAATGCATTGACCAATAAAGGCTAGCATACCAAATGCCTTCTTCACTATCCTGTCTACCTGTTACTCCACTTTCAAGGAAGTATGAAACTGCACTCCAAGGTCTCTTTGTTCAGAAACACACCCCAGGACCTTACCATTAAGTGTATAAATCCTGCCCTGATTTGCCTTTCCAAAATGCAGCACCTCACATTTATCTAAATTAAACTCCAACTACTACTCCTTGGACCATTGGTCCATCTGATCAAGGTCCCGTTGTACTCTAAGAAAACCTTCATCGCTGTCCATTACATTACCAATTTTAGTGTCATCTGCAAACTTACTAACCATACCTTCTATGTTCACATCCAAATCATTTATATAAATAATGAAAAGCAGTGGACCCAGCACCGATCCTTGTGGCAGACCGCTGGTCACAGGCCTCCAGTCTGATAAGCAACCCTCCACCCCCACCCTCTGTCGTCTACCTTCAAACCAGTTCTGTATCCAAATGGCTAGGTTTCCCTGTATTTCATGTGATCTAACCTTGCCAACCAGTCTACCACAAGGAACCTTGTTGAACTCTGTACTGAAGTCCATATAGATCACGTCTACTGCTCTGCCCTCATCAATTCTCTTTGTTACTTTCTCAAAACAACTCAGTTAAGTAAGTGAGACATGATTTCCCATGCACAAAGCCTTGTTGACTATCCCTAATCAGTCACTACCTTTCCAAATACATGTAAATCCTGTCCGTCAGGATTCCCTCCAACAACTTGCTCACCGCTGATGTAAGGCTCACTGGTCTACAGTTCCCTGGCTTTTCCTTAACACGTTAGTCAACCTCCAGTTTTCTGGAACCTCACCTGTGGCTATCAATGTTGCAAATATCTCAGCAAGGGGACTAACTATCACTTCACTAGCTTCCCACAGAATTTGAGGGTACTCTTGATCAGGTGCAGGGGATTTATCCACCTTTATGCATTTTAAGACGTCCAGCACCACCTGTAATATGGACATTTTTCGAGAAGTTGCTATTTATTTCCCCCCATTCTCTATCTTCTATATCCTTCTCCACGGTAAACACTGATGCAAAATACTCGTTGAGTATCTCCCCCATATCCTGTCGTTCCACACATGGGTGGCCTCCTGATCTTTAAGGGGCCTTATTCTCTCCCTTGTTAACCTTTTGTCCTTAATGTATTCATAGAATCCCTTTGTATTCTCCTTAACCCTATTTGCCAAAGTAATCTCATGTCCCCCTATCTTCTCCTCTATCCATCTTCTATCCGCCTCCCCCTCTCTCCCTATTTATTTCAGAACCCCCTTCCCCTCCCCCATTTCTGAAGAAG